ACTTGTTCTAAGTCCTGGAAATACAACGATTATTAGATCTGACAGGGCCTCTGCTCTCATGAAGCTTAGGAGACACATGCTGAGCAGGCAAGCAACAGCTCACCTGGTTAGGGGAGTGCTACGGTACAAAGGACACCGTGACAGAGCAATTAGAGGCACAGCGTCAGTAGTCTGAGGGTTCAGAGACAGACTAGCTAAGGTGGATCAGGTGTGCTGGACCCAAGAAGGAATTACCATGTCAAATTCCAAAAGAAAACCGTTTTCCAAGGAGGGGTTACAGTTAGTTCAATAGCCCTAAGGTTCAAATCTGCCTGTGCATCAAATGATGCAAGTGTTGATTAGGGCAGCTTGAGATGACAATGCTGTTTGTCCGGTATTATCAGGAAATTCCACCTAAGTGCCTTTTCCATAGATCTATCATTTACTTAATGTTAAACTATTTAAAAACTACTCATTTTACACAAAATTTTTCTCCGAGGAGGGGTGCATGACATACTTCTCATCCTTAAAGAACAGAATAGGAATCCTCAATGTACCCAGCCAACTCCAAATCAAGAAAGAATGTGTTTACCATTTTAGTCAAGGTCTAAGCCATGCACTATTAGCACAAATAAGGAATATTTAATTCCAACAGAGAATCCTGAAGGTCTTTGTAGAGATAATGCTGTTTGAGTTCGGCCTTACAGAATAGGAGATTTTGACAGGTAGAAATGGGGAGAGAAATCCTGCATCTAAACCAAGAAAGCTCAGGTATGTAAAGCAATGAAGAGCTGATTGACTATCTGGGGTTAGGCTTTTAGGAGAAGGTGGTAGGAAATACAACAAAAAGGATGCTGGGTCCAGATCATACAGGCCTTGAATTGGAAAGGAGATGGAAAGGAGAATGGAGGCAGTAGAGAAACACAGAAGGGTTTTGAGCAGAGAAATGGCAGAATAAGAGATAAGCTTAAGGAAGAAAACACTGCTTTTCTGATGCCACTGTGTACTTCATGGGTGACCACTGGGGCTTTTAAACAGCTTTCAACAAAAAGCTCAGAAATTCTGAGACTACAGGGTCGCTGTTTCTTCCAGATCCTTCCCTGCTGTCAACTGCCATTTCTAATTGGCTGTAAACCACAAGTTGCCAAGGGAAAACGAAAACGTCACACTTAATTCTATAATATAACTGAGTGAATAAGCTTGAAATCCAAAGGTGGTCCCAGTCAGCTCTTAGGACGAAAAGGCACGGGGCTTTGTATTAGCTATTTTGTTCTGTTTTTAATTCTCTGGCTATCTAAATCATGACGATCTAAAAGAACTGATCTATAAATTGAGCTGTCAGTGTTATCCTCCAGAGAAACAAAAGCCCTCTGGGTTGTGAGCTCCTTGAAGGCCTGGCATGGCCTTTATCCCCACAGACTCCCCAGCTCTACAAGGCTCAAGGCTCATGCTGCATGATGAATGTGTAACAGCTTAGCCCCCTTACTGATTGCTGGCGCTGGAACTGGGAGAGGAGGAAATACAGCTGAATATATGTATTTCAAATTTATTTTCTCATACACGTATATACTTTTCATGTGCATATATGTTTTGCATATGTTATGTTTCCCAAGTGTATATATGCATTTTATATGTTTTCTGTTTTCTATAAACATATGTTTTGCATATGTATAGAAGCTGTTTTGCATCCTTCCTCAGCAGGCCGCAACTGTGTGCCACCTGAAACTATTTTATCAAAGAGAGAGGAATGCAGGAAGTCACAGAAAAATTGCTTAGGGATTTGTCAGCCCTCCTTCAGCCCACTGGCTTCCAGCAATTTTCCATCACAGTATACCTGAGGGCTCTGACACAGCACCTCAGGAACTGACTCAGTGTGGTAGCGATCTTCAATGGTGAGGACAGGTGCTCCCCCCGATCCCCGACCCCCTTGCCTATCCAGAAAAGCAAATCAGACAGAATAGGGAAAAGGAGGGGAGGAGGAAAATGGGAAATGGGAATGGGAATGGAAAAGGGGAATATAAACATAGCAGTTGAAAACAATTCCCTAAGTCTTTCTGCTATACTCTACCCCATCAACTGAGAATCACAGTATAATTTAAGAATATGGCCTTTGCAGTATGACAGGCCTAAGTCTAGTCCTAGCGACACAATTATTAGCTGAACAATCCTGGCCACCTCCTTTAGCTTCTCTAAGCTTCACATTCCTCGTCTGTAAAATAGAGAACATAATAGTAACTATCTCAACCTGTTGTTTGGAGGATTAAAAGCAATTAAATTATATAAACTGTTGGGTACAATGTCTAACACATAAGGATAGTGAACAGATGGCAGCAGTGATTATGATAAACAACCAGTCAGGCAGAGCTGAACTGTACCGTCAGTGCCCTTATATGCTTACCATGGAGGGCATGAATGCTAATAAAATCTTTCAAGAAATCAGGTGGGGCACTTGTGACAGGCCCAGCTGCCACTGGCGTGGCCACACGTGGGCCTGGCTGCATCAGTAAGGTGTGTGAGGGAGGCACGTCCCGCAGAGGTGAGGGCAGACTGAGGCCCACCACCAACGCCTCGGTGGGTGTTTGCAGCCACGGCTAATATTCTCTTTTCTCTCTGGGCTCTTTTTGCTGCACAAAACCCCAAGTCTTTCTTTGTTCCCCAGCAGGTGCTAGTAGATGAAGTAAGAGCTCTCTGGCAACAGCACATCCCCTGGGAACCACGTGATGTCACAGTAGGTTATTTTTTCCATTACAGGGAAAAAATCTGAAGGAGTCACATCACATCTACGTGTCCATTTCTCCTCCCCTCAATAGACTGTGTTTCAATTACCAGGAAGTACATGTTGGGATCCAGAAGCACAGTTGGATTGCTACAGAGGAAGCCGCAAGGACTTCATGGAGCCAGGACCAGCTGGATTCTGAACCCCTTGGCAATAAGGGCAGGTGTCAATAGGATTGGATGGGTGACAGTCTATGCCTAGAGTTAAACGGCTGATGTGCTGGGTGCTAGCCACATTCATCAGGAAAAGAAAAATTTCCACTTGACCTCAAAGCCATCCTCCACTCCTCCCACTACTGTCATACAACAAAGGCTGTGAGGGAACACTCATGAGAGGACCCGGTGTTCTCCTCAACAGCTCATCACAGAAGTCATCAGGGAAGCTGGTGGCTACATAGCAGCTATGTCGGGTCCTCCATGGGTAGTTCTGTTCAAACCTTTTATGATTCTACTTCAATTCTGCCTTAGAATAGCAAGTTCTGCATGCCATGACACCATATGAATATTGGTTCTTTTTTTAGTTTCCTTGAACTTATCTTGTTTAAAAGAATAGTAATAGTTCATCATGACAAGGTATGTTGCCATCCAGTGAACAGAGTGAAGGAGAAAAAAGGAGGTATCTGAAGGTGACTGAGGACTGTGACAGGCCCCACAGCTGTCCATTGCTTCCTTTGCTTAGAGCTCCCTCTCCTCGGTTGACAGGGAGAGAGACGCTCAGAGCATGTTTGGTCTTATCCTCAGTCTACACCCCGTGTCTCTATTTTGACAGACAACATGTGAGAATCGCCAGCCAAATGGAAACACTGCTGTTCCTGGGCATCTATAAGCCTATGCCAGTGATATTTGATAGAAGGTAGGTTCCTCTACACCATTTCAGTTAGAAGAAATAATGTCACTCACCCAATTTTGAACACATCATTATCCCTTCACCTTTGCCTTTTGAAATTAAGGAAAAAGAAGTAAATCTGTATCTTCATAGAACTTAGAAAAGGACGTTTGGTCGCTCTCTCCTTCATTTGGCAAAGAAGTGTGGAAAAACTGCTGCCTGTGCTCACGGAAACACATCACGCAAATGGACAATGGGTGAGAAGCAGGCGTCAAAGGACAATTTGTTCCCCCGAAAAATCACCCACTAGGAAATGAGGCTAGGAATATTATTGAGAATAAAGAAAAGGGGAAAATATAAATAGACAAAATAATAAAACACACACACACACACACACACACACACACACACGCATGTGCAAACACACCAAGAACAAAACAAAACCCCAAGGTCAGCAAGGAATTCTTCAGTTGAAAAGAAAATATTATAGTTTGGAAGACACTGAATTTAAAATCATAGCAAGATTCCATATAACATCATATGCTATAATACGAATCCCTGTAGTCAATATGTAAAGTGGAGACAACACGAATGGATGGTTCCATCTTGTTTCCTTGGTATAGCAAAAGAGAATATATATTGAGTACTTCATAAAATTTCTAAAGCATGCTGAATGTATGTTGATGGCTCTCAGTCTCATCAATTTCCTGCCATCAGTTCGGTTATTGCAGTGATTCCCATAGGCCACCTACTTCAGTCTGTTTTCAGAGAGAATAACCTAAGACTTGTTCTGAAAATGGGGCACCAGAGGCAGAAATCTATTTCATTTGGGACTGGTCCCAAGTTTGGTGTCTTATTTTTTGACAGTCCTACAAACCAAGAAAAGAATATTAATTCTTGCCAGTCACAGAGTCACAGCTGGAAGAAATAGCTCAAATCATGACCACTAGAGTTCACAGAAACTACTTCCAGTTTGGACTTTCAGTTACTTTGAGGTTAACTGCCTTCAGCTATAGAAAGAAGTGGCAAATGTCTTAAGAGCAGAAAGCTCTCACTACACTTTCTCTCTATCCTGACTCCCTATACTGCCCTGTGGGTAGAGAATTCTAGTAAGGGAAAGAAAATGGAAAGGTGCATGTTAGGAGTACCTAGAATCTGACTTTCTACATCTCAGCCTGCTCCTTTTGTGAGGTGTTCTGTCTACTGTAAGTTATAGTCACTCTTGCTTTTACTTTACATTCTTTTCTTCTGTGATGCTTATTAAATAACTTGAAAAAAAAGAAAAAAGGCTCAGTTTATTTGAAATGCTCATGTAGTAAGGAAATAAAACCAAGTTCCTACAATATCAGATTTGGAACGACTTCAGAGTTACAAGGACAATAACAATAAGGTTGGTGAAAACCATCTTATGGAAAAGTACCCAGGCGAGATGGTGCCAGTCCTCCTCCTCTGCTCTTTCCCCATGTGACGAAGGATCTCATGTCAACACCCACCACATCAAAGGCGTCAATGTTTAATCACTAGGAAGAAAATAAGTTAGGTTTAAATAGAGTTAATGGCCGGATATGACAGCCTTTCTTTCCTATTGAATATCTAAAAATGTATATATATATATATATATATATATATATATATATATATATATATATACATTTTCTGTCTTTGTTTTGAAATTCTTTGCTCCCAAATCTAGTTAGATATTAAATACATCATTTTCCTCTGTGGTCAAAGTATGAGTCAGGTTTTCAAACGCTTCCACTTTAAATGGCTGCACAGAAGCCACCTATGTGCTTCTGACCCACACACTCTGGAACGCAGTGTACTGGTCCTAGGAGAATTAACTTAGTGGTTTGCCCAATTGGGGATACTAAGTATAGAAGAATATACTTCATTGTTATTTCGTTTGGTAGGGGAATTATTCTCTTTCCAACTGGAACACACAATTTTAAAGTCTAAGTGGGAAAGATAGTCCAAGAATACTCAGAGCAGAGGTGACATCAACAGAGATGTCTTCTATTTATACCAAGATGACCAGCCTTCTCATGACAGTCACAACTGTTAGAGAAAAATCATAACCTGAGGCATCAACCACAGCAGAAAAAAAAAAAAAAAAGTATGTGCCCCCCATTCGAGCTCATTCTCTAAAAGTGTCACAGTGCTTTGCCTAAGACAACTACCTGAAAGACCCTGCTCACATGGGCTAAAGAAAACAAAACGTGCCTCGGTCTGGGTTTGACCTCCCTGAGTAACTGCCTTGCCAGCCCAGTGGAAATCTTCTGACCATGGGAATGCCATGCACGCCGTTTCAACAGAAGCCCTCTGATGCAGGGTTGTTGTTTTTTTCAAACTGCAGGTCACTACCCTATTTAGTGGATCAGTAAGTCCATTTAATGGGCTGTAACCAGTATTTTTAAAATGAAATAAAATTAAGTAGGCTAGAATAGAGTAGAAATGATTAGGAGTACACATAGTAAGGGAAGGTACTGTTTCATGAAATTTTGCTTCAGTTATAGTCGTTATTTTACATATATAAACGGGATGAGGCCATTTTTAGCTATACTCAGAGCACAGGTGTGGGAGGAAGAATCAGTATCATGTGAAGAAGATAAACCCACTGAAGCATAAAAACGGACCCAACAGGTGGCAGGATGGCTCAGCTGGTGAAAGCAAGTGCTCCTAACAACAAGGTTGCCTGTTCGAGATGGTGGACTACGCCCGCCCGCAACTAAAGACTGAACTCAGCACCTTGAGCTGATTTGCCGCCCAGATGGTTCAGTGGATAGAGCCGCGCTCTTAACAAGACTGCCGGTTCAACTCCCACATGGGATGATGGCTACGCCTACCCACAACTAACTGAACACAGTACCTTGAGCTGAGCAGCATGATTGGACTTGGAGCTGAGCTAGCTGCACCCTCCAAAACTAAGATTGAAGGACAACAACTTGGCTGTTTCCTTTCCTCAATTCCCCAACACTGTTCCCCTGCCCCAATTCCCCAATAAAATCTTTTAAAAACAAAAAACAAACACGAGAACCAAAACAGAGCTAAGGCATTGTTTCTTTCCTCTTGGATTTCACTGTCTCTTGGAGAGCTAAAATTGATCAGGAAAGTGACTGGGAAAGTTGTGTCCAAACTGAGGGACAAAACCATGAGGGGCACCTGGAATTCAGTCAGCTACGTCTGTTAAGATTGAGTGGTCTGAAGAATATAAGGACTTCAGGGTTATATCAAAGATCTTCACAGTTGGCTGGAAAGTATGCTTACGCTTTGTAAGAGCCAAACAAATACAAAACCCAATCCAGTGGTGCATGTGTATGTTAGCAGGGGGGGCGGGGGGGGGAGGGCAGGTGTAGGTTTCCCTTTAGCAATCACCACAGAGTGGAGGACACAGCAATTTAAGTTCAAAGCATTCACCACAATTACCAGTCACCAGTGCAAACCTCAGGCAAGTGCAGCCTCAAGCGTGCTCAGAAAGTGCTCTGCTGGAAAGGGAGCTCAGCTAACTGGTCGAGTCTGTGCAGAGCAAGTACCAAGGCCACAGCGACATAGAGTCCTCTACGACCACACCACCCACCCCCACATTTCACAACCCCCTTTCAGCAATTTGCTGTTTTCCTTAGCAACATCAAGTATCCTAAGTCTTTAATTCATTTATGTTGTTTGCTATTTGCCTCTTCCCGAGAATATGAACTTCCTGAAGGGCAGAAATTTTCATTTTGACTGCTTGTTTTTTTTCTGGAGCCTAGAACAGTGTCTGGCACATAGCTATTTTAGATCATTATTGAATGAAGTGATGAATGAAGAAATGAATAAAACCAAAACCACAGAACTAGTATTTTTTGTGGGAAGGCATCTGAGTAGTTGGCATTTTATATTATGTTTGAGAGAATTGGGTCTATTGAGAGACTATCAGACTTGTATGTTTAGTCAGGTAATTGCCTATTGGTATTAGAATTAGATTTTTACAAAGAGAATACATGTTTAAATTACACAGTCATTTCTTGGCAGCTTACTTAAAAATGAGGTTATACTGCTTCATTAGTATAAGGCTAATGATGACTCAAATATCATGTTACAGAATCCATCTTGAGTTCTATGGAACTGAAAGAAAGAATACCCACATAATTTGATATTTCTGTAAAAGATTTCCTCTGCCCTAAATTCCGAACAAAGCTAAGAATGCTGTGCATTGAAAGGTCAGTGAAAATTGGAGATGTGTGGATTCATATTCATCAATATTTCAAACCCCAGCCGGCTATCAGTAAGGACCTGGGGGAGGTGGTACATGAAGGGAAGGAAATACGGATTTTTCAAGTTTAGTTCAATACCTACGTGTAGCAAGCAGAATGTTTTTAAGCAACACAAAAATATGGACATATTTTCTCCTAAATCTCTACTATAAACTAATCAGAGCAGGCCACATGTGTGTGACAGAAGAAAATGCCACCAAATTATTATAGCTTCAATTTCTATAAATAAGACTTTCATCTGTCCAGTTAAAATAATTTGAGCAGGTGTTGCCGACCCACAGTTTTCAGCTGCACTGCAAACCAGCTATCCAAGCAAACCGTTCCCCTCGACAGCAGGGGACTGCAGCTCTCTTCTCACCCCTCCTCTGCCATGTTGGAACCTCCATACCTGGGCCGCCAGAAAACATGGGCACCCAAAGCACCCGGTTCATTTGCACATCTCACACTAATAAGCTAAGTATTTGTTCAATATTTGCTTAATGGAGACTGGGAAAGACAGAATACCCACTTATTTGTTTATAAAATATACACCAAGTATCCAGTGACTTCTTTTAAGCTGTCCCACAACAAAACTATTCTCATAAAAAATCTGAATAAGCAGTGCAGAATTTACCAGAGATACCCCAGGGGAAACTAGGAGATGGTTTATAACATTTCCTGGGAAAACATCTCTTCTAAGTTTCTCTCCTCAGCCTCCAGGCATCTCACTCTCTCTCCCACTTTATTCCTTTTTTGTTCCTCCAGGATTCAGGCTCTGTGGGCCCTTTCCTTCCTGCTTCCCATCCTTTTCCATTACCCTCTCCACATCCCCCTCACTCTCCTTGTCTTAAGAGCAACTTAGTTTCTATCTTTATGTTGACATACCCCAATACCTAAGCTTAATGTCATCTTCAGGATTTCCACATTGGGAATGACATTTAATGACAGTAGAGGGGTGCTGGGAGCTCTATCACTCTAGCACTTCTTTAATTTGGGGAGCTTTTATGAGAAGCTGTAATAAAATTCTTTTAAAAGCTATTCATTTCTTATAAAAGTTGAAATGTGCATCCCCCATTACACCTTGCTAGGGTCATATATGACGTTATCTACTCAATACTACTAGTTCATTCATTCACCATTTTCCCCACAAGTAGTTATGGAGTGCTTTCCATGAACCAGTCATTTCTAGACACTGGGGATATGGCAATAAAGGAAAAAAGTCACAGTCCCTGCCCTCAAGGAGATTAAATGCTCATTGGGAGAAAAAGAAAACAAATAATTATGCGTAATAGAAAATAATGTAGTGCTATGAAGAAAAATAAAGCAGAGTACAGAGGATAGACAGTGATGGGGTCACATATATATCTAATTGTGTATATACATATTTTACATTTATACATACTAAAAGTTTTTATTTATGTCTTCATGTCTTATTTTTTAAACAGGTAAAATAGCAAGAGCAGAAATCTACATTTGCCATTGGAAGGTTTCCAGAATACTCAGAAATCTCAAGCATGCTGCTAAGCAACTGACGCCAGGATCTTCAAAGTCCTGCCATCCAGAACACACGCCTTTCTCCATTGGCTTTGCATTCCTTCAGCAAGGCCGCACTGCAATAACCTACAGCCCAGCCACAAGAGGCCAGAATTAAGATCTGCTAGCTGAAAGGATAATCACTGCTGGCATTTCCTCCAATGATTTATTACATTATTATGAGAGAAGCAATGAAAACATAAGCAAAATATTTAACCTGTGTCATTCTCAGAATGTGTCCAAACAATGAACATTGCTTTGCATGCCTGCTATGCATATGTTTAAGTTTTCACCCAAGTTAATGAAGATGGACCAAAAGAGAACCATTTAAAATATTTATCATCTTGTTCGCAAAATTTCAGTGTGTTTTGGTAGGGAAAATTTATGCTTCAAAAAAAACTTTGCATGTGGGCCAGATATCCAAGTTCTATCAACTTATATATTTATTTCTATCTTCAACCTACTCATCTTTCCTTAGCTCTAGAAAGCTATTTTTAACAGTGTGGTAGGTGGTGTTCAAAATCCAACGAATTTTCTGATGAACGAATGCATTAGCTTGACACCTAACTGCTACAACAAAAATAGGGAGGAAAAGTTCACAAATAAAGGGTTTTGGTTCATTCACCCCTGTTTCCCTAATACCCACCCACTGCAGAGGTCAGCACAAGGAGTGCTCAATCCATAGCTCATGAGAAATTAATAAATGAATCTTATCTTCTCATTTAATTGTCATAATAGTACCTAAGCATTGTCATAAG